AATCTAAGTTGTGTTATTCTAAAATTGCACCTAAATTTCTCTCTCTCAAATATCGAAATTTAGACAATCAAATCATTCAATTAATGATTAAGTAATTGAAAGTATTAAGAATGAACAATACAAATAAAAATAATTGAAAAATCTCAAAGAAATAATTATTATAATCAAAACATGGTCTGAAGTTATGGTTACATCAAAACCCTATATTAGAATTTTAGTTCATGATAGAAGCCATAGAAACTAATAAAAATTATATAAAACAACAAATTTGAGAATAAAAAAACTATTTTTGATAGATCTTCAATCTTCTTCGAGATATTGGTCTTGCTTTCTTCATTGATTTCTTGCCCGGTTGAATTGCCCCCCAAAAGTGTCCTCTTAATTGGTATTTATATCATCTTGAAGTCCTTCCAAGAGTTGATGTCGAATCGATCTTTAAAAAGAAACCAAGAAGAATTCAAATTCCTCATGTTAGGCGATGCCACCAGTGTGACGCCGTTGCACCGTGTTGATGAAACTTGGTGTCACGGTTCCCACTTTAGGGTAAAAATCAGCACTGCATATTTTTGAGTATTTTTATCATAATTTTTTCTCTCGATATCCAATTGAGGCGATTCAAAGTAAGTTGGAAAGATAACTCAATGGGCTACAACTTTACTCCAAATAGAGTTTTCTAATTCAAACGTTTACTAGGACGTTGATAAGATCCATCAATTTAGCAGCACCTTAGGCAAAAATGGGTTTCAATCTCTCGTTAAAAATCTGGAACATATTTGTGCGGTTGAAAATTGATTTGTGAAAATATTTTGATCATATTTCACTCATTTTTGACTTCTAATTGCATTTGATTAACTCCTAGCAATCTCCAGTTATCATTTTGTGGTCCAAATCAACTATTAAAAAGTTACAATTGAGTTCTCAAACTTTGGATTTCACTTTTTTTGTTATTATTTACGTCTTTCTTTCAATTTAGTCTTCAATCATCAAATTTCACCAAATCAACATCAACTTCTCATTGATTCATGCCAACATCACTCGTTTCTCCAAGTTTTGCACCAACACAATAATTCACTTAACCTATAAAATAACAAGAAAACACAAATCAAAACGTTCTAAAACTCTTGGGGGGGCGGGGGGCGGGGGGGTGTATTCAATCGAGATTTTTAGTGAATTTTTGGGATTTAAAAAGTTTTTGGATATTCAATGTAAACTTTTGAAGACTCTAAGAGTAATTTTTTTTTTTCCTTTTTTCATTCTTTTTTTGAAAAATATTTATTTTTAATTAAATTATAAAATTTTATATAGACAAATTTATAATTAAATTTAAATATATATATTTTGTCTATTCTTTAAAGGTATATTATATTAATAATACTGAATATTAAATTTATTTTTTATATGTATTATTATTATTATTATTATTTATTTATTTAATTAAGGTCTTAAATATTTATTATTTTTAAAATATTTTTTTATTATACGGGGGCGGGGAGGAAGGAAGGATAAGGAAATTTGTGAGAACCACCACCTCGAATGTGATGATTTCACAATATTGCACTCAATTCACATAAATTTTATCTCAAATGAAAGTCTTTAAAAATATTTTGAATCCTACAAAAGTTTCTAAAAGTTTTAAAATGAAAGTTTATAAGTTTATAAAAGACTTCTGCTAATTAATTCCATACAAATCTCTAAAAAAATCCACGAAATTCACAGAAATCATCACTTAAAAAAAGTCCACCAAAATTTTCAAAAGTCTCAATTGAATACACCCCCTAAGAATCAAACGTAATATCGAGACTAAGTAGCATTAATATGATGAGTGAAACAAACTCATCAGCTAATAAATTGAGCCACTCTCAAAGCTTTAAAAAGTTTACTTGTAAGTACATAAAACTTGAGTTTACGTCCATATAGTATTGTTGATGTAGAATAATTGTTTTATAATAAATAAATTATGAATTTTATTTATTTTGTGTTATTGCATATTGAGCATGTGAATTAAAAGTGTCAATGATAACTTGTGTTAATATAATTTGGGCGCTTGTATTAGAAAATCACAGCGTGATTTAACTAATATTTGTTCAAAGCCAATGGTCCAATGTATAAGGGCTAGCGTATTATATTAAAATGTTGTAGTGTTGACTAATTCACTATTTGAATTTGAGATTTGTCCTTATTATAGAAATAGATTAAAGTGATACTAGTACACTTAGAGTATATTAAAAAATTTGTGTCTAATTTCATTCAAAGAATTAAATTCACTTAATCGTGTGTGCAGGTATTCCATATAAATCATGAATAGGGTTGTCTATATATTTTTATGAGTTTAATAATTCTTTGATTTGCCTATAGGTATCAAATATTTCGATAAGTTGGAAACTTGAGAACGAACGAAGAAGATTGATAAGTGCATTTTATGCACTTATTAAGACCATATTATTAAACTTTTGTGTTGTTTTATTATTGAATTTTATTTAACTTAGGTTAATTTTATCTTATTTCAGTTTTGGACCTGTTTCTAAGCAATTGAAAAAGAATGACGGATAAACTGACCAATTGATGGAAGTTTGGAGACCAATATGTATTTGAGTAAAAGTTGAAACACTTAAATTGAAGTTATTTGATGTGTAGGACTAAGATGGAAGAATGAATGAAGAAAATGACTGAAAGGAAAATTCAATGAATTTTTTATAACTGGGCAGCCGTGCGACCTTCAACTCCATTAACAGGAGCGAAATTGCATGATTGGGCCGCTGCCCCATTCTATATTGGGCGCCCGCCCAGGTTAAATCGAGAAAAAAAATTCAGATTTCCTATTTTGACTCCAACTCTTATGGAAACATGATTTAGGTCATGTATATAACCCGAAAACTTCTGAGAACGGTGGGTTACGCATTCTTAGAGAGAAAAACAACATTGAAAAGTAAGAAAGATAAGCCTAATTTCTAATTTTTGGGTAATATCTTTTCTTTATTATTCTTATTGCTCTTTAATTTTATCCATGCTAGGTTAGATTTTCATTGTACTAGGAGAACAATGATCCTCGCTATGTGAATGTTTAATTCCTTATTTTGCAATTTTGTTATTACGACACGAATATTATATATTGAATGATTTATATACACTTCAATGTCTCCATAATTAAATGCATGTGATTATTTGATTATGGGTGATCTATTTCATGCATTCGAAATAAGGGAATTAGATTCAATAAGGTATAAATTATCGTAGGGTCCGATAGGGGATATAAATATACCGTTATGCTTTATGTGAGTCTTTAAGTGTTTACAAATAGTCATACATTCTCATATATTGTATTTGTCATAAAAATACAGTCAAATGATATGCGAGAATATGTTCAATTCTACTCGAGAGAGATTATTAAATATGTTAGAAATATTGATTCTTCAACTAAATCGTTGTGTTGTCAAATTGTGAAATAAGGGTTAAATGTGAACTTGATTGGTGATTCGAAATCCTAGTGCATTTTTCATAAATTAATTTCTTTAAACTTTTGCATTCAAGATCATTTAGTAACCTTAGTTTAAATTACATTTTATTTTAGTCATAGTTTAGTCATAAAATCCATATAATCATTTTGAGTTAAATAGATTCGGTTAAGGTTCTCGGTAATATAAATCAAATTAAATCAATTTTCGTGGGACGATACTCTAAAATTTTACAATTTCCACTTTATTACTTGTCAACGAACCGCGCACTTGCGGTGAACATATTTTCGTGAACAAATGTTTGGCATCGTTGCCGGGGATTAATTATTAGTTTGATTTTTCTTTACTCAGACACTAATTCGAACGTGTCTTTAATTTTAGTTTACATATTGTATTTTACTCAGTTTTTTCTTCTTCTTAGGCTGAGCTTGCATGCGAAGATCAATCAGCTGTGAATTGTTTCAAGTTGATTTGGAAATTGAACGAACCTTTCATCGCAGACAGAGAGAAGCAAGAGCAGC